GAATCTTACTTTAGCTTGACTTTGCCTTCAAAGCATCGACCAGTCTGTTTCTAATATTTATGATATGTAAGCTGCTAGTGACATGACCTCTGCCCTTGGTGCAGGGAGGTGGCATGTATGTTCTGCTTGGTTCTCCACTTTGGACAAGGGAGGATAAAGGCTTTGTTTAAAAATAAATACATCACTTTCAGGTTTGTCAGTGGTACTGTACATTTTCCTCTCTGCCACTCTGTGTTTACAGGCACAGGAAAGCAAAAATAAATGTATGAGGAAGAGAGAAGGTCAGAATATCAAGTGTCAAAAGTAGCCCATGAAATTTTATTGGTGGTGCATTTAATCAGTGCTAAGCGTTTTTTACAAGATACATACAAACAGTGGAATTGTAAAAATTTATGGAATGCTGTGTACAGTGTAGCCATTTATGAAGAAAGGAAAATTTATATCCAGTTGAAATAAACCAAAGGGGAATGTTTTATGGAGACTGTTCAACAGCAGGATACATTAAATGAGATCCGGATAAGATGAGGATGGGGTATTTGCAGGGTCTTCTTTGAGGTGTTTTCGTGCTTCTTCTGTAGCTAACAGTTTGCATCTTTCTGTGGCTCTCAAATAGTCAGGATGCTGGATGCAGGGACAGTGTGGTGTTTGTGTTTTTCTGTACAGTGGAAAGGAAACACAAGTGAACAGCTGCTACTGGTATCTGTGGTAAAAGGCTCTCACTCTTGGGCTTGTTCCAGTACAACAGTTTCTTGAGCAGCCCTTAATACCCAGCTGGGAAGGGTTAACTGAAGCCAATCACACTGACATCAGCATTTTTTTGTTTCCTTTTTGGTCCAGTATTTTGTTGATGATAAAGCACAGACTTAGTCAATTGAGAGATTCCAGAGCTGCAGAATCAGAGATAATTTAATTAACGGAATTGCTTGTGATTGCCCACTGGGACAGCGGGTAGGAATTGCTCAATTTAATTTGGAGAAACAAAGATCACATGCATGCTAATGTTTAACAAATAACCAGTGTTTGGGTTAAAGTTTTTTAGCGAAGAGGGGGGTGGTCATTTCCCAGGGGAGATTTCCCAGGAGGCAATTGCTGCTCTAAGCTACAGATAGGTCCTTTTTCCTCTTCCATAGTATTTCTGTGCACTTCTCTGGCCTTTTACCTGAAAAAGGCAAGGATTTTCTCAGAGAAAGTGTTCTTACTTTCAGTGCTCAGGGGAAAATGCTATGAACGGTAGAAAAATATGCATTGGCCACAAAGACTGAAAATTATCACATGCTGTCTGCCCAGTCTCACAGACTTGCTTCTTGATATGCAGCATCCTCAGCTGTGACTGCCAAGGCATGGAAGACTTAACCACAAAGTCCAGGGAGAAGTACAGGACCGAGCTTCTTCCACAAGGAGTCCTCCCTTCCTGTTTTTGCTCTTGTACAAACATTCTCACTCAGGCTCCCCTGCGTGTGCTGGTGTCACAGCAAGTCTCTACTCCAGGATGGAGGTGCCCTCTTAATATGTCGTCAGCCAGTTCTCACACCTGCTGGAGAAGCATGAGCACTGGGGCTCAAGGTATAGCTCTTGGCAGCAGTTGTGCTCAGCAGGTCGCTCTGGAGGCTGATAAATGACGTTATCCAAACACGTCAAATCAGGGCGCTGAGGCGCAAAATTGTTAAGAGTCCTCCTGCATCCAACATGAGGTCAAGGCAAAGCAGAGAGCCAATTCCTTCTCTGTAATTCCCTCTGCCTCACTTGGCAGGGTAACTTGTACACAGCCTTCCCCTGTCCATGGCACTTGGCTTTCTGACCCTCGCTCCACCCTGGCGTTACCCTGTAAAAATTCTGCCCAAGGCTGCTCCCAGCTGCGTCCAGGCAAGCGCACAAAAGGTGCACACACGAGAGGGAATCCTGAGGGAGTTCCCAAGATTGCTGCTGCAGGAAGAGTTGTTCCTAAGTGATGCTTATCTTTAGGATACAAGCAGCAGGTTGACGGTAAAATGACACTAAATGGAATGGCATGTGTCCCAGATGCGCTGGCCACCACAGGAGCCAGACACATGGGAAGTGACTCTCGTCTTTATTCCATCCCTGGAGGTAGTTTCAGTTTCCTTTATTTACTAATGTTCTCCCTATTTCCCTTGACCTCATTTCCTCCAGCTTTTCCGACGCAACCATGCAATTATCACTCACTTTGGGTTGACCCTTGGCTGCCACATCCCTTGTTGCTACTGCTCTGAGAGGTTTTCCTGAAATCTCAAGTGCAAAATATTCACTTACGGCCAAAACTCTTAGCTCTCATGTGAAGTGGGAGCTGTGTCTTCATCTGTGCTGTGCGTCAGGATTTGTCCTGTGAGCTTGTTTAGCAGGGACAACATGTGGAGTTTAAATTCTGTCATAGCTGAGCTTTGATTAGTGCTGGGAGATATCACAGTGGCTGAAGCTCCCTCTCTTACCAATGCACCCCAGTCTTGTTAATAAATGTATATTTAACAATGTCTGGAGCGTATGAAGTGATAATAACTAAATCAATACCTCCCACATTGATTGTCCAGGATCCCTACAGCGTGACGCACGCAGTGGTGTGGTAATTTTCCAGCTAACTAGCACCCTGATCTACAGCCCTCCTATTGATTGGCCATTGTATCAGGCAGCCTCTGAGCATTATTGCTTATGCCTCTATTCAGCCTCCTTTTCTGATTCATTCGTTTATTACTGGACAGGTGCGATTATCTCAGAGACTTTCCGAAACTGGCCAATGGGGGTCAGATGTTTAGATTTCTATAAACAAACCATTTTCTATCTTTTCAAGTTGTTGCAGTGGCAAATTTTTCCTTTTCAAGTTTTGACTATTACTGGGCTGGGACTGGGGATGAGTGGGCATTTGTTTGTATCTGCTCAAAGAATCAACTTTTCCCTTTCCTTTCTGAGTTGCCCATCCATCTGAGGAGGACATGTAGGTCCACAGATGGTAAAAGGAGAATTTAGCAAGGGTTGAGGTTCTGTTTACCACCTGCTTTTGGTAGGAGTCGCACTCGCTGCCTTTACACCTCCAGTGCCTTTGTGCATGCAGGAAGGAGAAATGGATTCCGTGAAGTCAAATTCAACTGCAGTCTTCAGCCAGCATCAGTTCAACAGTGGGCCAGACTGGAAAAGAAACAATTTTCTCAGCCAACAATAATCTTCAAGCTATAAATAAATAAATCTGTTTCTTCCTTGGACAAAACTAACACCTTTCTAGACTTTCTTTGAAAACACTAGCAACTCTTCCTTGAGGGTGAGAACTCAAGCTGGGATATGGTAATAATTCATACCAATGAGCAGGAGCAAGTGGGTGTTATCACAGCAGGGAGGACTGTCTCCTACTGAAACTCTTTCATCGTGCTCCAAAGAATATTTATGGATTCCAAGACTTGAATCCACAGTGTCCCTGTCCCCAGACAGTCCTCACCCACTAGGCTATCATAGGACATTTGTATTTCTGTACCTTTTTTGCAGTTCTAAAACTGTTACCATTTTCTGGCAGCTGTCACTTGCAATGAATCTCCTTCTGATGAAGATCTCAGCTAGCTCGTGCAGAGCGTGTCTCATCAGTACAAAGGCAGGAGTGAAGTTGAAGGAGCTTTGTAACAGTGGTAGTTAACCATATACATTTCAGCAGCGTCACTTTCTTCTGAAGTGTCATAATTGGGAAAATCACCCAAAATCTATTTGACTAGTTCTGTTACCAAAGCCTTGGGAAAAGCCATCAGAACCAGCTTGTGGGAGATACCCCAGGTCCCTCCCTGCATGCTAGCGACAAGTGACTAATGAACAAAGGAGTGAGTACCTGCCTGCAGCTAGAGTGCTGAGATTGCAGCTCACTTTACTGGTTGTAGTAATTCCACTAGACCTGTGCTGTAGACACCTGTTGATGAATCATCCTCTAAAAAGGTAGAAGACATAGATGCCACTTGGGTTATCTTGTGATTGATGATGCAGCTTCTGGTGTCGAGATGCTTTTCAGATTCTTCTGAGCTGGAGTTTGCCTGGAGATGCCAGAAATTCACTGACACATGTGAAAATTGTTGGTTTTGTTTTTATTCAAGAAAGTGAGAGCTTTTATGTCAATGCTCTAAATCTTTTCTGGGGAATACTTGAGGGCCCCTCCCTATGGCTGCACTGAGTAGAAATCGGATTTTGCAGCATACTGGAATGATGCATCCTTGTCTGTATTGCTCCCTGCATTTCATTTGCTAAGCATTGCTGTCTGCCCTTGCTTTTAGATTGGCAACTTGCTCTTTTCACCAGCCTTGCAGAACCGTGAAAATACACTTGCCTGGCCTCAGCACAGTGCCTCTGTGACAAAAGAGATAATGCTGCCCATCAAAAAATGACCCTAGGAAGTAGGAAAGCTGAGACTGTAAAGCTGCCTTTATAGCCACCCTGTTGGCACCATGTCCATTTCTTTTGGTTTCTCCCTTCTTTCAGTGTTAGAATCAAAAAGCTGTGGCTTTCATTTATATAAGCCGTTGTGTTGATCCTGTGTAATGAGCTGATTTTGCATTTCACGATGCTGATGACCAGCAAAGGCCTCCATTCCCTAAGGGAAAGAACAGCTCCTATTGCCCACAAAAAGTTATCTCAGCAGATTTAAAACAACATACAGAACTTTGTCTCAAGCATGTGGTCCTAAGGAATCTCTTAAGGGAGGCAAGAAAAAAAGGCAGAAAACAAACAAAAAAAATATGCAACAAAAGTATCTATTCTTTAAATGTCTGTCTTGCTCTGTATGAAGCTGGCAACCCCAGCACTGGTTGTGTTCTTTTGTGATGTGTTTGGAAGTGTTTAGAAAGACACTTTAAAGAATTCACACTAGGCTTTTTGGGAATTCTTTTTTAACCCAAGCTGGATGTATTAGTTTGGGATTTGATGCAGTTTCCTGTGCAGTACCTGTTGTGGGATCCTTTTTCCCAAAAACTCTTAGCAGTTTTTTGTGCTCAGTGATGTTCACTCTTCATCATCTTTTGCAGAATTACAGAAGACTCTGCAGTGACAACATTTGAAGCGTTAAAGGCTCGTGTCCGTGAGTTAGAAAGGCAGCTTTCCCGTGGGGACCGCTATAAATGTCTCATTTGCATGGTGAGTAGCACTCCACTCGTGGTAATGAATCAGAAATGTCTTGGTATCTCTGCTGAGGAAGGGAGAAGCTTTTCTTTTTCAGGCAGACTGGGGGAACTCATCACCAATTAGCCTTCCAAATTAAGGTCTTAGCTACTCAAATTTCTGTATGAATTACATTGTCTCACTGGTATTTGTAGCTGTCCCTCTGTATCAGGGGCAAGATACTTGCACAACTTCTGAAGGCTCTGCCTTCCTGTAGAAAACTCCCAGATACCAGTATCCTTTTCCTGCACATGCAAATTGAGGTACAAAGGAGAGAGCAGAATCTGTGATCAGAGACTCAACTCTGATTTGGCAACAGGGATGTTCCTGAGTATTTAAAAGTTGCCAGAGTCCTGCGTGCTCACTGGTGATGCTGTGGCCTTCCTCAGAAAGGACAGCAGCTCCCTCTGATGGTCTAAGCCTGCAGGGCTCTACGTCTCCTATTGGGTTTGTGTTCTGCTGAGGGCAGAACATTCTGCTTGGTGGAGAGCTCCCGCTGCAACTTCAGCTTCATGCACAGGCTTCTCTCTCCCAGCCAGCTCACAGTTTGGAGGTGTGTGAGTGCAGTCCTCGTCACTCGTCCCACAGAAGGGACAACAGCTTGCTGCTGTTTTCCAGAGGTTTGTTAGCAATGGTAGAAGATATTTGAGAAGGCATGTCTGCTGAAATAGCAGCAGCATTCTTGGGATGTAGTTACGCTGTTCCTGCAGAGCTGAGTTGTGATATGGGTTGATCTTACCCTCTCACTGGTTTTCATATGATCTGGTTACGTTTCTGATGAGAATAATGGCAGGTGGCCAGAGCAACTTCAGATGCTTTTGCGATAACTGTGCTGAGCCAGGTCATCACTTGAGTGGATTATGTTGGAACTTCCAACAGGAGTTCTGGGAAGCCAAGAAAAGGGATTGAAGGAGATTTTCTGACACTTCATGCAGGCATTACAAACATACAACTTACATACTACACAAGTTGATTATTTTAACTTAACTTCTTAAACAAAATACAAGACAGTGTTACCCACAAAGGAAGGCATTGTGATGGGGTTGGGAGTGGAGAATCACTAGATTTCCATGCTATGGAAATAATCTGTTTGCTTCTTTTCCTCAGGACTCCTACACAATGCCCCTGACTTCTATTCAGTGCTGGCATGTGCACTGTGAAGAATGCTGGCTGCGGACTCTGGTGAGGCTCTTGACTGCTTTCTTGTTGACTTACAGCCTTTTTCCTCTCTTCGCAGATACTTTATTCTAGACTGCCACAGGGAAGGGTGCTTTTTGCTTTATTTTAAACAATCTGAGTGCTGTGCTTGCAGATTTCCCTAGCCTGGCTGTTTAACACCCCACTCTAGCTTTGACATGAGAGAGTTTTGTTTGAATCGTTGCGACCCAAGTTCTGTCCTGCCCCTTGCTTTTTCCTCCACTGCTGTGGGAAGAGATCTGTGCCAGGGACCATCTTGCCTTTCATTAATTTCCTGTGGGGCATCCATGCAGAGAGGTAAAGCTGTGAGAATGGAGGCCAAACCCACTGAGATTTCATGGAATGGGTAGCTTCTGAGAAACATAATATTCCCCTGAAGCAAAGAGAATCATCTTCAGGAGAGAGGATATGGAAGGGAGCTTTTATAATGTGAATCTATATTTTTTAGGTTATTTGGAATAGCACTGTGTGGTTTTCAAGCATATGCCATTCTGTTTAGAAGATTGGGAACTACCTTGAACATTGAATAGGTGACCCAGTAGAGCAGTAATTTATGCATTTATTAAAGGACATCAGGTTAAAATTTAAGGTGTTATTAAATAAATTGTTTTCTTTTCCTGTGTTAAAACTGTGGGCTTTACAATCAGTCTTTAATGTCCCCTCTGCAGCTGATTTTCAGGCTCTCATTTTGTTCAGGCTGAAGAGTGGAAAATAGTCAATTGTGCTTTCTAGTTCTCCTGTTAGCAAGATGATACAGTGTTGGGTTACAAAAAATATAAGGGAATGCCACTCCTAAAAACTTGTTCCTGTAAGGCATTACTCTGCTTTATAAAACACATTGTGTGCTTGGAATTACGATTAAGCTGATCATGCTCCTTTAAATCCTGCCTTTTAAAAGTCTAGTCCAAGAAAAGTTACCAGGATGGTGAAGTGCCTGTGGGCTTGAGTACTAATAGCAACTCAATAACTTGGCTATCCCTTGGGCTGTATTTTACAGCTCTTCAGCTACACCCCATCACTATTTACATTATACAAGCTTTTGTAAACATTTTAGCAGTATCTTATAAAAGACACACATGTGGGTATGTAGCTGTGAGGTGTCTGGATGAATATGTGCTCTGCCACCTTTGCTAACTGAAGAGTAATCTTGCCTTTCAGTGGTGCTACAAGCACAGGATAAAACACTAATTTCCTCTTCATTTTCTTTACTTTGAAGTCTTTGTCATCTCCTCTTCCCACCAGCCTCAAGTCATCTTCTAGACTTGTGGCACCAATTTCAGGCTGTTCTTAGGTTCAGCAGCAACATAGTTCAACTTTTGTCATGTTCAGCAGTCACAGCTGCTCATGAGAATGGGGAAAGTCACTCCAGGTGCTGAGGGATTAACATTTCCCTTGCAGAAGGGAAGCCATCTCCCCCTAGAATTCCGTGAAAAAGGTGGTGATGGTGCTGGCTGTGTGTGATCTGCACGTGGCTCTTCTGCTGACCAGGCAGGCGAGATGGGAATAGTCCAGCAAGACATCATGTTAGGACTTGGCACTTGCATAGGGGAAGCAATTAATAAGTGACTACTCATGTGTTCCCCAGTCCTAGCCTCTCCCTGCAGCCCCCAATTTATTAAACCAGGCCTTTTCACAAGGCATGCTTGCACTCCCTCTCCCATCTCAAAAAAATCTCCCAGCCTGTGTTCGCATGTTTCTAATGTAACCATTAAAATGTAGCCTGAAGACAGCAATAAAAACCCTGGAACGCCTTGGTGCTTTTGTGTCTTGATCAAAGTCAATGTGTGTAATCTCGTTAAGACTGCCCTCCTTCCCCCCTCCCTTTTTATGAATTTAATGGCATACAGCAGCTGGGCTCAGTGTTTAATGCTTACCAACCTGCATTGTTCTAATTAAGGTATCTCCTTTTATTTCGGGCACAAAAGAGACTCTTGTTTTTTTTAACAAGCGAGGAGCTGTGGGATAGTGTGTGTAATAATCGCTGCTGTTACCTTTCCCTGGGTATAAAGCTGGCTCCCCAGTGGGGTTGGGAGGAGGGAGCCTGCGCGTGCAGCACACATGGAAAGACTTGGCTGGGGGAGAGGGGCAGCATTTTTCTTCTGTTGTGCAATAAACAATTTGTTGGAGTTAATAGGAGTTGGAGCAGGCGGGTTGTGTCAGGCTTCCGGCCCCTTTTGAACAATCTGGAGATCTGCCATCCATGCTGGTGAAAAGTCCCCTTTCTCCTGTGTGCCTGTGGTTCACATGCCCAGCCAAGGTCTAATATTAACTTAGAGCGTGAGTTGTCTGAGAGAGTAGGGATCATGTACTGAACACAGCCCTGGAACTGAAGGCTCAGAGTGCCTGCGAGCACTTCTAAACCTCTGCAGGGTATTTAAGACAGGGTGAAATTTGATGCTCAACTGTCTATGGACCTATGGTTTAAACATTTTCTAAGATACAATAGTATAATGATCTGAGCATATGATTTGATATCTTTTAGGGCACTGATGAGAATTGGATCTTAAAATGCTTAGACTTCATGAAAATAAAATTCTTGGATTTCTGGTATTTTAGGTTCAATTCCAAATTATAACTCTTCTGTTGGTAAGGACAAGGAAGAGAATTTTAATCACTAACTCTACAAATGATTGCTGGACTTTCTAGCTTAGGTATAATTATACTGGAGCTTAGCATGTCAACAGGCTTCAAGTTCTGGGTTTGAAACATTGACCAGAGGAGATTCCATCTCTGAAGCAAAGTCTGGGTTCACAGAAAGGGACCCTGGAGATGCCTTAAGAGAACCAAGATCATGGAGTGATTTACCTGTGATCCCTTTTGGAAAACCTGAAAACATGTGCTGGGTTCTTCAAAGATAGGAGAGGAAATGCTGTTGCAGGAGCAAGACTTAGCCTGGGCAGCAGCAGGTGGGTGCTGACAGCCTCATGGTGGGTGTCCATCTCAAGCTGGTTGTTTGGCTGCAGCCTGAGTCATGGGGTAGTAGGGGATGAATCTGCCTCTGTAAGTCTGCCCTGTCTCCATCCTTCCCCATTAACTGAGAGGGACCCTACAGCTAATAGTGGGTGAGATTTGTATTTTCCTTCTCCTGAGGAGAGTTCTCTAAGAGAAGAGATTGGCCGTCTGCTTTAGTGATTTGCTGGGGAGGTTTGGAACCTCCATCCTTGGAGGTTTGTGAGAACAGAGTTGATGTGTGTCTGTCAGCAGTAATTCAGGTTGAGGTGATCTTGCCCAGGGAATGGGTTGGTGAGTTCTTGGCATCTCTCAGAGCTGTAGTTCTGTGATTTCCCAATCCCTGGTATCCTTCTTTATTAAGTAAATGGAGCTGGAAGCTAAGTCAGGCTGTTGTTTGTCAGTGAAGGAGCTGTCAGTGTGTGCAAAGGCTGAAAGAGGAGAGGTTTATTTGAGCAAATGCAGTTTACTGGGTTTCCCCCATCACCTGTACAAGCCAGATCCAGCATTTCCCACGTGTATTTGCTAACTCCAGGCTTGTGCCTGCCTGTCTTGGGTTTATTTGAAAATGACAGCTATAAGAGCAGGAAAAAATCACTTCTAAAAAGCCTTCTTCATTACAAAATGCTTCCAGGGGATCCATCGATATATATGTGAGCTCTGCAGTTGACACATTTATATCTTTAGTAATTAGTACATTCTTGCCACTCTTTCTAGGCTCTAGTACCATATATGCCATGTGGGCTGGAGTGATTTTGTACAAAACAGCACAGATACAGAGCAGTCCTTCTGGGTGATTCCTCAGTGCTTCAGCAACATATAGGGACCTCCTGAGTCAGCAGCTGCATGAATGCTGTGCTTGTGCCTTCGTGATGTTCTCATCTGCCATGAGGTTCTCTGGTTATTAATTAGCATTCTTCAGTTCTGGCCTCCAGCAGCCTGTGGGGGTGAGCTCTACCCTTTAAGGAGGCTTCATGAAAGAAGTTCTGGTGGTTTAACCCCATTACCTGACAACTGGAGGGTACCCCACAATGGCAGTAGAGGACAACTGTTTCTCTGGGAATTAGCTTCTGCAGAGAAGAAGCTCCACACTTTGTGTGGAGGCACAGGTAGGAGAGGAGGCTAGCCTTGGTTGAGAATTGGATCTTGGCATTCAGTTCCTTTCCTGGCAAGAAGCCGCCTCTTGGTTTGGGTCCCTCCTGTCATCTGTCTGCTTCGATTTTACTTTCTTTGCCTGCTCTATTTGTGTGTCTCTTTATTCTCTGTGCCTGGTAACATATTCTTCTTGGAAATTGCCCATTTTTAGACCCACAGGACAGCAGGAAGTGCCTAAATCCTTCCTTGTGAGTTTCCCTGCTTTAGCCAATTTATAGCAGACATCATACCATTTTTTTTAAGAGGCAACTTTAAGACAAACTACTCCAATCCTTCCTGGCACCATGTAAGCCCTAACGACTTTTCAACATCTCAGCTCTCGTTAATGCATTTTTCAAACTACTACCCCAAGTGATTAGCCTGTATTGTGGATCAATCACTTGCCAAATTTTAATTAAGAAAGGAGGAGAAAAAATAAACTCCATCCTGGTTCCAGCCCCATTTCTTTGCTTTGTAACAGCCCTGGAGCAAACTTCTTGCAGAAGAGTTTTATAAACCCCCCAAAACTGGGGTTTATAATGGAAAAGCTGAGGTGGCCTTTACTCCAGCACACACAGCTATAACACATCAAGGCTTTTCCATGTAGCTATGATGAAAGGAGCAGAAGGACCTGGAAAAAAAGAAAAAGAAATGGCCGACAGGTGGGACTTATTATTCCACAGCATTTTTATTTCAAGGGAAAAGTTTAGTAACCCCAGCTGGCAGGTGAGCAGTGGGGGAGCAAATGCTTTTTCATTGTGCCTGTGCCAGCATGTGTGTGTACAAGCTTATGTGCCTTTCCACAAGAGAGGAGAGCTTAATCAGTGGTGCAGATAAATGTTGTACACCTACACCGAAAAGTCAGATGTAAGGAACAAGGTTCTGAGCAACTTCAATCTAAAAAGTAAAAAATCAGGACTTAGTTCTGAATTTACCACACATGCTTATGTGTGCACAGGAGGGCAGTTTCATATAATATAAAAGAAAAATGCTTCCCCAAGTGTCCAAAGTATTAGGGAGACCCAGAGCCCTGGGCCCAGCGTGCCACATTCTGCCTGCACTGCATTCGGGCCAGGCTGCTGAAGGTTTCCAGGATGCTGTTATTCCCTTCAGTGTACCCAGGCTTCAGAGTTCAAGGATGAGCCCTGCTTCCCACGTGCAGGTGAAGCAGTATCCGCCACTGCCCTAAATCAATCTGTGATTATGTAGCTTTTGCAGAAAATAGGTCAAGCTACATGTGGTTGGGTTCTGCTTTGTGATGTGGTTGAAAACTTGTCCCTGACTATTCATGTGCAGCTCTCAGGTTTAGGTGGGAGAGTGAATCTCCCTAAAGCCATTGGTAGTTTGGCATTTAGGAAAAAAGTGGAAAACACCCATGGAAGTGATGGCTCTGAGAAAGGCTGCTGGGAGTTTAAGCCTGTTTTGCCCTTTTCCTAATCCATATCTCACAGCAAGAAATGAGTAAGTACTCTGGTGATTTTTAGCTGGTGCTAAAACCACCACGAGCCATCAGCATGTGGTGCAGCAAACAGATCTCCAGGACAGAGATCTCAAATTCTGTCAAGATAAATCCAGCCATCTTCCCTTTCCCTGTAGTGTGAGGGAACTGCATACCTGGCCTTGCTTTGCTATGGAAGAGAGCAGCAAAGATGCACTTGGTTTCATCGGGCTCAGGCTTGTTCTGCCATCCCTGTAGGCTGAGCACAGAGGGCTGGTACTTATAGTGAGCACCTGCAGCCTTTGGTTCATACCTTGCTGCCTCTTACGAGTAAGCTTGAAAGTAAGGAAGGAGAGCATGGACACAGATGTGGGCACAAGTCACATCTGGAATGCTTAAAGTCCGCATGCACACTTGTGCTTGTCAGGGCACACAGGAAAGCTTGAACAGGCAGCTGGCAGCTGCTGTCCCTCCGACAACATGCTGTGAATTAATTCCTCAGCACCTCCTGCCACTTCCTTTGGGACCCCCTCCAGCTACAAAGATGATGCCAAGAGGGCAACTAGATGCAACAGGTGCCTCCAATGAAAAGGGAGCTGCATGGAACTGAGTAGAGACTCAGTTGAAACAGGATATTTTGTGGCATTTGCATCCAGATTAGTGAGCCCCTTGGGAGTGCTGCTGTGTCACCACAGTGGCAGAAAGGGCAGATGTTCAGATTTTTCTCTCATGTTTTCACCACTGCAGCAAGTTTTTACTGAGACATGCAGAGTAGAGCTTGCTATTTCTGATTCTGTAGATCCAAAGCTGAGATACTGAGCATAAGCAAAGAGGCATGTTAAGTAAACAGGCTCTGCTGAATTCCAGTGCACTCAAGTTTCCATTTCATCAGTGTTTTAAGCCTTTCCTTTGAGTTGCAGTTGGCACTTGCTCCCCCCATAATCCAGCATGCCAAGTCCACTCGGTGAAGACCACTGCATAAGGCTGCATGATGCATTGCACAGGCAATGCAGTGGGATGATCCCTGCCCTGGAAGACTGAAAACAAACACAGTAGTTGTCCCAGTTAAGTGGAAGAATGTGTCCACAGGCATCAGCACCAGCGTTAGGTGTGCCATCCTGACCACCAGTGGTCTGTCCTTCCTCAGACTTCCAGCCTGAGAGTGATGCTCAAGGTGTTTTGGGGGTCTTTTACACTTTATTCAGCTCTAGCTCAACAGGACTTCATGTGTGACTGGTTTAGATCAGGTGCAGGTGCCCATGGTCCCCAGATGTGTTCCATCAACAGCAGAAGCGCTGGCAGCGGGAACTGTCAGATGGGACCTGATTGTTCAGAAGTGCAAAGCTCAGGGAATAGCAAGTGCGCCAAGTCTGTGACTGCAAGGAATAATGTGCAGTGGGAGCAGGGAGGGCCATCCCAATTTCCCACGCTGGTGGTGCTGTAGTTGGGAGGCTGCCTCACAGCAGAGCCATCTTTCTGTCATTTTTCTCATCAATTGTCTGTCACATCTGCCAATCTAATGATGACCAGCTTAGGTTGACCCCGATTCTGAGGCTTATTAACACCCTCTTGCTGTCAGGCTTGGTGATAGATGGCACATCAGCCCTTGTTTTATTTCATGTACTGTTCCTGTGGGCCACCCATTACCCCACCCCAACTCACATCAGTTTGCTGTTTCCAGCTCACCTTGGCAGAACAGACTCATCTCTGCAGTATGTGTGAGCTGGGGAGGATGGGATGGAGGGCTCCTTCATGCCAGCAGCTCTTAGGCTTTTGCAGGATGGACGAGATAGTGTCCTAATATGCTGCTCTGAAAGGGATGGTCCAAGGCCCCCATGAACCAGCTCAGTCATCCCTGCTGAAAACTTCACTTGTTCCAGCTGGGTTTTCTGCCTGTTCAGTGACCTGAACTGGCTCATCGAGGGCTGCAGGTGAGCAAGGGAAACAAAAAGGAGCAAATCTCCCTGGCAGCCAGTGGTGACAGTGGTGCTGAGTTGGATGATGCACCTTGGCTCTGAGTTTCAGCCCTCTGCAGAGCTCCTGCTTGTCCAGCTGCCTCATGTCAGGGACTGGAGTGGGACAGGGGTTTGCAGGATAGGCAGGGAGGGCATTGGGACTCCCCCTTCACACATCTTGTGCTCACTGTTGGAGGCCATGGCCCTGCCTGGAGGGCCTTAATGCTTCTGCAGTCCCAGGCCAAGGGCAGGGATGTCCTTCACACTCTCACACTGTGCATCTCATCTGCTGGTTGCAGGGTGCCAAGAAGCTCTGTCCTCAGTGTAACACCATCACGTCTCCTGGAGACCTTCGGCGCATCTACTTATGAAGGACCCAGCGGGAGGGCGGGACCCAGCTACTCAGCTCAGCTCATCACACCCAGGGGGAGAAGAACGACCACAACAAAAAAAAGACGTTTTAAAATTCAAAGAAAAAACAAACCAGGGACTCCAGACATGGACTCGAGGATACAGGAGCAGCGGGGAGCCTCGGCTGCCAGGTCCCACAGTTTGAGACCTCCTTCAGCATCTGCAGCGGGCAAAACCAAATCCTTTGTTGTGAAGCCCCCTTTTTTAAAACCAGTGTTCCCCATCACCCATTCCCTGGAGCTGGCTTTGCATTGCGGATGGCTCGTGAGCCCTCCTTTGAACTGTGTTGTCAACCACTCTGCCCCCAGGAGACTGGGGAAGGGACCCTTGACAGAAAGATGTTAAATAACCTGTAACTTGTGTTCCTTGATCAGTTTTTGTTTTGTTTTTATTTGTTTTGGTTTGATTTTATTTTTTTTTTTTGGTTGGTTCTGTTTTGGTTTTTTGTGGTGTTCTAGTGATGACTAAAAGGTTTAAAAAAAAAAAACACACCCAGGCAGAAATGAAGCACATGTAATATAGATTATATATGTTTACAATGTTGTGTATAAATGGGATAGACTCAAACATTACATACTAATAAGTTTCCCTTTCTTTTCTTTGGGTTGTATTTTTTTTAAAGAAGAAAAAAAAAATGAGCAGAGAACATTAAACCCATATTTTTCTTGGTTCAGCAAAGTTTTGGCATTAAAGTCATTAGTTTAAAAAAAGTATATATATACATATATATAATATAAATGGTTTAATGTTCTGTGGTGTATATTTCCTCATTCAGATATGAAGTTAACAGCTTTTAGTAATGGCTGTAGCATTGCCCATAACTTACAGAACTTATGGGGAGTAGAGGAGGTGGATTTTTGTCATTAGTTGTAGCTAATGGGGCTATTTATAATAGAATCGTTATCCCCGGAAAGACACAGCTTTTAACTCCTCACCGGGGGGCCAGGCAGGACAGGGGGAATCTGGCTCAGCCCCCTTTATCTTTCCCAGCTGGGGAAGGGGCAAATGGTGAGGAGCTGGAAAGAGGGAGTCTGTCAGAGCACTGTCCTTTCCCCTAGTGCCTGCTTGGGGGTCGGGCTGACACCTTGTGCTCCCCCAGGCCATTGCCCCTTTCCCCTGCCCTGCCTGGCTTTGCTTTCCTCCTTTGGGCAGTGTTTCCTGGCTGAGGATGCTGGGGCATCAGGCTGGTGCTGAGGCAGGACAGTGGGGATGGCAGGGGACAGGATGGTCCTGCTGGTGGCTTTGCCCAGAGAGACTCAGCCAGTTCCCGTGCAGGGCTGCCTGGCAGAGCTGTGCAAACCCTGCAGAGCCAGCCCTGCCCTCCTCTCACTTCCCCCAGCTCCCGCTCTCCCGCAGCCCGTGTTTTTCCTGAGAGGTTTTGGCACTAGGGCAGAGAGCCAAGCCAGCCCTGTCTTGTCCTCCCTGCCACTCCCAGGGTCCAGCAGAGACACTCTCAGCTGGACCCAGAGGTCCCCTGCAGCCCCAGCTTCTTCCATGCAGTCCCTCATGCTTGTCCCTGTCTCCCGTATCCTCAGCCTTAACCAAAGCTGCCATCTGGCCTGGTTTTTTGTTGTTCTTTCTTTTATTGTCAGGATCCAAGAAACAGATACTGACCCATTTTCCAAGGCCTTGGGACTTCTCCCAGCCCCACACTGTGCATCCCTGCCACAGTTTCCTGGGCAGTTGTGGGGTGCCAGCTCCCCATAGCCAGAAGACAGGGAGATGGGAAAGCTCATCTGCCCCATTCTTTTCCAAGCAGATCCCACCTGGCAGCGCAACATAGCTGGAGCATAAAGACAGTCTGGAAACAGCAGTGGATGAGGGGTTTGGAGCTAGGACCCCAGTGCTGCTGGGGTGTTTCCAGAGAGGGAAGGGCTGGGTAAGCAGAATGTGGGGGGTGTGACAGTCCCACTGCTGCTTCCCTACCTTGAGCTCTTTTGCAGAGAACAGCTGCAGCCTTGGCATCTCTTGACTGATTCAAAAGGATCCCACTGCACCCAAAAAACCCCAAATGAAATTGAAGGAGCCGTTATTTCATAAATATCTCATCAAAAGGTGACAGTTCCTAATTGGGAGGCCTCTGAGACCAGAGAGCTGCAGCCTCCTCTGCTCTGTGCCAGCAGAGCTCCCGGGAACCAGAGTAAGCCAAGGCACCCCAGAGGGTTCTGCCTTCACAGGGAGACTGTGGGCAGGGGCTGTCACTGCGGGGTAACCCTGCAGCCAGCAGCACAAGGCAGGGGAAGGGCAGGCATGCACAGCTCAGGCTGGACTTGTAAAGGGAGAAAAACTTTCAGGGCACATGGCTCAGCTGGGAGAGTGCTGGTGCTGAGGTCTCAGAGATTGAGAGGGGGCAGCCAGGTGGGTTTGAGAGGCAGCCAGGAAGGGCAAGAGGGTAGGACACACCTACCCTGCCCTTCCTTGGAAATAGCCTGGCTCCCTCCCAGGGCCTTTCTGGCAGGTGTTGTGGACCAGCCATGTGCTTTATGTACGTATGAGTAAAACCATATGTAACTAGTCACTGGTTCTTTGCTTTGGGATTTATTTTTGGTTTGGTTTTTTTGTTTAAATTGTAAAGCCATCCCCTGTTTTCAAGGGGGAAGCTGCAGGGGGAAGGCTGGGGAGAGAGGCATCCCAGTTTGTAACAGGCATCTGCCACTTCCCCTCTTCTGTAATGAGTTTAAATGATTTAAAAAAAAAAAAAAAAAAAAAAGTGAAATACCAGAGTTACCTATCTTTGCCCAAAGAATCCCAGTTGCACAAAGCGATATTCCGGTGTGTCAATGATTGTGTGTCAGTGTATACTATACAAAGAGGTACTTGTCACTCCCGTTTGTAAACTACATTTGACATTAATTAAACAAGTATAAATCTTGTCAGGTGCTTTCTGCTTCTCTGTGTTTCCCTTTGCAGGCAAGAGGCAGCAGAGACCCCCACATGCTGCAGCCCCTGGATGTGAGTAATGTCCCAGAGGGGAGTCCTGGTCCTGTTTGGGATGCAGGGACAGATGCAGGGGGATGCTGAGACATGCACCAGACCCCACCACGGATGGGTTCCCCCAACTGGTCCCCACATAGAGCCAGGAGGGCGGGGCAAAGGGCAGCCCTCAGGGGACACCCCCATAATGAAGTCTCATCGGTTGCGTTATCTGGGGGCAGGAGATGCCCAGCCCCAACAGATCTATACCTCCTGCATTAGGGGCCTCCAGTGCAGTGTAGGGTTACCCTGACGCAGGGACTGGGAGGCCGCTGGGGCGGGGGGACAGAGGTCGGGTTCCCCCCGGCACACGGCTGGCGCCCACGCTTTTGGTTTACAAACATTTTGCAGATGGGTCAACGGGCAGTTTTCAAACCTCTCCCCATGGCTGTGTCCCCCAGGGATGGGTTGCTTGGGCTCCCCAGGCTGGTGGGAGGAGGCAATAAAGATGTCGGGGACGTCTTCCCATCTGCTGTGCCAAGGATAGGGAAAGGGTGGGATTTGGCCACTTTTTTGGCTGGCAAGAAGCAACGAAGGTCTCAGCCACTCTCCCATCCACTTCCAGCCCAAGGGAGGCCTGAGGCCAGGGTGAGGGGCAGAAACCTTCCCTCCCTCTCCACCTACCCCACAGCAGGCTGCTAATATTTTATTTAAAATATCTTTAGGAAGCAGAGGACCATGATGTATCGGATATATTGAGAAAATGCTAATGTGTAATAGCGTGTGTCAGGGGCCTCGTTCATCACCCCGCGCCGCCTTCTGGGGGATCCATATCTAATTAACAGTAATGAATGAGGGAGCCCACCTAATGACAGCCCGCCAGTTTGTTATGGAAATGAGGCAATCCCATTAGGCAAAACACTTAATTAAACAAACTGCTCGGAGTGTAGGCCGGTGCAGGATGGGCACAGGCCCTTTAGGGAACAAGGGGGGCCCTGGTACCCAGCCCTCCACATGCCAGGTTGGGGGCACAGAGGCTGCTGCAGCCTCTTGAGCTGGGTGCCCACGGTCAACTCCAGCAGCCGGGGGCTGGGGAAGCCAAGAGAGATCTGCCTTGGGGGGTCCCAGCTGGGGAGGGGGCAGCAGGCCAGTTCACATCCCCCTCTTGTCTCTCTCCTTCAATGGGCTCAGAGGCAGAGGCCAAACACAGATTTCCAATCAAACGTGTGTACTTGGCTCCTGCTCTATTGACACTGAAGCAAGAAGGGCTCAAGGTTAATTCCTTATCAATACCCTATTGTCAGCTCATCCATCACTCCACGGGGGCAGGGGCTGCCCAAGCTCTCGCTGCCCCAGCCCCCATAGGTTTGGGAGGGTGACCGAAGGATGCCGTGCCCACCTCTGCCCATCCCAGCCATGCCCACGTAGCCTGTCTGATGGTGCTGGGGTGCACTTGCAGCCATGTGAGGATGCAGAAATGAGAGGATGGGGGGAGGTCAAGTTCAAAGGGAAGGGGATGGAGGGATGCCCATGCCCCAGGCTGGGTGAAGGAGCTGTGTGGGTGTGCTGGACAAGGGGGCATTAGGAGACAAATCAGGTGGTGGTTGTGGGCCCCCATTTGTGTTGTTCTGTTTCCTAATTGCATTCTAAGCCCCCAGCCCTGTGTGCTGGGGGGTCCTGCCAGCCTTTTCAGAAGACTAGCACCGAGCTCAGCACCTTTCCCAGGGACTACAGGAAAGCCAAGGGAGCTCCAGAGTCCTGACACGTGGAGCTCCCAGAAGTTGGGTCATGGTCTGTTTGATCACACTATTACACAGATTCGCTTAAAAGACAGATGGCCTTCCATGGGAGATGGAGAGGGAAGTGCTGTGACCTGGTCTGCTGAGGTGAGAAGGGCAGGAAAGCTATTCCTGCTGTTAGACTTTTGGTTTTAACAATCAGTTAAAGCTGAAGAATGGGATCTAGTAAAAATTTCAGAGCCAGGCAGCCCTAGGGAGAGATGCTGTTATGTATTAACTCACAATCTCTAATTCTTGTCATCGCAGTTAGCTCTTGCTGGTCTTTTTCCTTGCCCCAAGAGAAGACCTTTTGAGGGAGATGCTCTCAGGCACTCAGAAGCGCTGGGCTGAGCCATGCTGTTGGGGTCTTAGCCAGGATCTGCTCAGCTGTCTCCATGCGGGAAAGAGGGGTCCTGCTGCCACCTCGTGGAGCTGCTCCCGCCGGCACGGGGCTCCCGTGGGCTCTGCACAGCCCCCTGTGCAGCTCCTGCACGGGCTGTGGAGACCAGCCTCCCTCCTTCACTTCTTGGGATGCAGCACGGGCTTGCATTGCTTGGTTCCATCCCGTCCGTTCCCACTTTTCCATCAATGGCAGAGCTCCACGCATATGCCTGCAGCATCCCAACATGCATGAAAATGGGACCTCAGCCCACACATCTTTAAAACACCTTTATGAGGTGTGGACACAGGTCAGTCTCCACCCAGGAGCCTAATTTGAATTACTCGTGCTTCAAAATGTTCCCCCAGCTCCAAAACCTGAACCCTGGCTGGCTGGATCCTGCCCCTGGCCTGCCCAGATCCCCACCACAGCCTGTCCCATTGTCACAGGGAGCTCTGGGTGCACTGACACCCTCCCAGCCCTGTCAGGAGCGGCTGAGTGCCCTCCAGCCCAGCCACACAGGCCACCCTGACCACTAAGTGTCTTTTTTTGTTTTTCAAAACCATCCTGTAACATCACCACTGCCTGGGGAGAGAAAGCACAGGGGAGCAAGCCAGGATTGCTTGCTCAGTTCCCTCACAGGAAACACTCAAATGGATTTTGCTACTGAGGGAAAGTTAATTTTGTTTTACCACAACTGTGGCAGCCAGCTGTGACCATCCTCCTCTCCCACCACTCTTGGTGTTCCACCCACACTGCTGCAGTCTGCACATGAGGGCTGGACTGCAGGAAAACAAGCTCTGGGACACATCCCACTCCCTACCCTCGAGGCAAGCCCAGGGATGCTGCATTTTTCCTCCCAATGAACAGATCTGCAGTGCTCCTCCTCCCCATAGCTCATCCCAGAGATTTACCTGGATTTGCCAAGATATCACAACCTTTGAGCTTTCAGTGTTCAGGCTGAAGTTCTTTAGGAACACTGGCTGCGCCAAACCGTGACAGTTTAGCAAGGATTAAGGGTCTGAGGCTGGGTTTTTGTAAATCCAGTAGTGCTTGGATCAGTTCTCAGCCATGTGCCTTTGGGCTCCAAGTTATTAACCTTCTGTTTCAAATAAGCCACAGGAATACGGAGGGCAGGAAGGTGGGGGCACACACAGTACAGGAAAGCAGAGGCCAGCATATCACACAGTGCTCACAATCAGAATTAAAACTTGCTGGGACTCAGAAAACAAAACCCACTCAGAAGACTGGTACTGTAAATCACTGGCTTGCCCAAGATCACCCTGCTCTCAGAGAGCTGTGTACACAGATCACCTCCAAATTTCCAAGTCACTTTTGCAGCAGTGGAAATGCCTGTGAGCACATTCCTGTTTGCAAAGCTCAGGACACCTCTGACTGCAGAGCTGCCCTGGAAAGTGGGGAAGTAGGCTGAGCTGGAGTGAGCTGGCCATGTGGCAACACTGTGCTGGGGAAGTGAAAGTGGGGAAGGAAGGTGCAGCTGACACGTGAGGCTCTCCCCAGAAGAAGCTTCACCATCCTGTCAGGCAGGAGCAGAGGGTTTAGCTCCAGCTCCTGCCAGCCATGTTCTGCAACAGCCTGAGTGCTTAAACAGAAGTTCAACACCCGCAGCAATAAACAGGAACAGCAGATTCCCAGAAACAACTGTATTAATTCAGAGGTGTATATTATGGAGTGTTTAACTGATCTGTAAAATACTGGACCTGTAGAAACCAGCATGAGGGCAAGTGCTGGTTAAATACCCTCTATCACCTCTGTCCCACAAGAGTGTTCACTGCTACAAACAAGCTGGATGCTGAGAAGCCCCAGCCCAGATCTCTGAAAAGGCAGATGAATACATGACAGCTCAGGAGTTACAGCACTGACATACAAACCAGGGGCCTGCTTTAAAAAGCTGGGAGATGTCTGATCTGGGTTTTCATGATCTTTTCATGGAGACAGAGGACCATGCCTGGATTTTACAGGTTCAAAACCTAGAAAGAAGAATTTCTCCATAAAAAGGGGAAGGCTGAAGGCTCCTACCACGGGGTAGCCCTCACACCCCATTGTGAGAACAGGAGATGGAACTGGTGTCACACCTACTGAAGACTGGATCCCAAGCAACAATGGCTCTTGTGCCTGGGGACAGTTTTCACTTCTAAAAATATCAAATATAAACCAGATCATCAGGCCCTTTTCAGTTAATTCTCGCTTACCCATATACAGCCCAACCCTCCCTCTAAAAACATGCTCATCAGGGGGTTATTCTGCTGTAAAAGAAATTGTGTGTTGTCAAAATAGTCTGCTACAAACAGCTGTGTGGTCACTACTGCCACTCACCCTGTGCTTTCACTTCTCTGAGGTGTTACAGTTCTTGTTTTAAACTTCCAAATTATTTTAGTGCTTCTCAAGGACAACCCCCTCTGTGCTTCAATCCAGAACAGCAAGAGTTTTGTAATTGTGGATGACAGCACCCCAAGGGAGGGCAAGACCAGCACAGCCACCCACTGACAGAACCTTTTGCAAAACTCCTCCTTCTTTTTGAGTGCCTACCCCTCCAGGGCAGCTCCTTGTTCAAGCAGGCCCATGTCACAGCCCTCCAGACCTTCTTCTGGCAATTTAAAGTTGGTTAAACCTGTTCATCATATTATTAATTAGCTTGCTATGCTGTGACATAGCATGAACACATCAGCAGGCTCTCCTCTGTCTTTATCCCCACTTCTCCCCCAAATAAACAATAAAACCTAAACCCAAACATGGATGAAGTACAGTGCAAGCTACTTTTTCACTAGGTGGAAGGAATTAGCTTCTCATACACATTGCATGGACTGCAAAGACTGATCATCCGAAGAGAACATTATGGACAAAAACATCGTATTTCATGGTCATTTGTAGGCTGGAGGTGATTTAAAAAATACTGAGTATAAAGCATAGTTCCAAGAGACAGTTCCATTTTCTTCTGCAATTCCACCTTTTTGTTTCAGGGGTCTGGCACAGCTGTAATCCAAAAGTTTCCCTGAATATCCAGATGCAAAATACAGGCTGCTCAAAGACATACAATAACAAGTAAGTAGCTCTCCAAGAAAGCAAAATTACTCAGTAGAACACACAAAAGACTGGAAGGAAGAGAAACAAAACACTAGACACATTCAAAAATGTTAGCTTAAACCTCTGGGTTGAAGAAGCAAAAGTCATCACAAATATTTAAGCTCCCCCTAAGGATCATAGAGCTTTGACTGTTTTATCTCAGCTATTTAATGGAACCACATGATAGTCTGGTCATACTGCCCTGCACACACCTTTTCCTGCTCTTACACTTGGTTTCAGGGCCTGATCTCCATCAAGGAGAGTACAAGTGAGATGCACTGAGAAAAGCAAAAAGTCCTGCAGACTTGACTCTTTGCTCACTACAAGATAAAACAAATGGCAGAGAGTGGAAAAAAACCAAACAACAAAGACATGGAAGAGGTGTATTGTAAAATTAGTACAAGCAACAGAACATGCACATTGGATATCGGGGACAACAAGAAAAGCAGAGAACAAGAGACAGGAAGAAACAAATAATACTCAGTGTGAGATTCTGGTCTGTGACACCTTGGTAAAGTACATCAACATGAACCATGACAGGATTTCAGATTAAGGACTTTAAATTAATCCATATCTACTTTCTGCTCTAACGTGGCTGGTCCAAAGGCCAGGCTGGAGGCTTTCAGACTCGTAGATGGTAGGGGAAAAAACTACTTTCCTGGTTTCAAAGACGAAAAAGGAAAGGGGGTGACATTTCCCATAGGAGCTGAGCAAGAAGAGGCAAACACTGAAGGTCATTAGAGCACTAAGGAGGTGAGCCCCCCACACAGTCAGACAGGAAAGTCGTGCAGAGGCTGTGGTAATAGGTGGGGTACACCCGCATGTGGCTGACATGAGGCGAATCTGAGAAGTCCACAGCTTTCACAGGAACACCGAGCTGCTGCCGGGCATTGGCCATGAGCTGAACCTCGCTGGCCTTGATGATGAGATCAGCCTGGGAATAGAGGTAGAGCTCGGGCCAGCGCGAGGGCGCTTTCAGCAGGGCATCGTAATGGCTCTCGTGGATGAAGCGGGTCAGGGGGTACAGCAGGATCCGCAGCACAACGGCCATGCTGGCAAAAGTGAACAGCAGGAAATACTTGAGCAGCACATTCATGGAGACCAAGACAGTTGCCAGGGCACGAAGGCCTCCTCGCAAGTTTCTTCTGCCAGGGGCGCTGTCGAAAATGGTGCCAGCTACTCTGAGGTTCTGAAACGGCTTGTGGGTGTGGAGCGCCTCGATGATGTAACGGTACAGCATGGCACCACCATTGCTGAAAACATGGAAAAGAACTGGTCTGCTTTCAACTCTGTAGTCAAACAGCAGCTCCAGGAGTCGCCTGGCTGGGGTCTGCAGGGATCTGATGCCAAAGGTCTCAGAGAAGAATATCATCCTCCATGGAGCTGTGTAACGGATGACCGTGCACCCCTAAGAACAACAGAAAGAGACCCCACACACATTTAAGCTGTGCTGCAAATTACAGAGAGTAAGCAAGCAGCAGTACAAGGAACATGAAAATTTGGGACAGGTTCCCAACAGAAAAAGGCCAGAGGCCTGGCTTTGGTCATGTCTGAAATCCTTTCAAATCTTGTGCTAACTGGCACAAGCCCTGGGGACACTGCCACCCATTTTTATGGGTGTTAATCCTCACCCAAGAGAAGAAAACCATCTCCCTGATTCACAGACCTTCAGTATCAGGCATTTTGGTAAGAGAAGCCTGCTCTGGTACACATCCAGCTCATCACACTGAAACAAATATAAGAAGAAAGAGGAACTTCTTCCTCTCCTTGGGCGCACTTGTTTGCAGCTGTCTCTAAGACTCATCACCAGCCAACACTGACATGATTTTTGTAGACCTTCCTGAAACACTCCAGCTGGGCAAAGAAAGAGCTTTGGCTCAAGGACTCAGAACTCCTGAGCAACTGCCTTCACACGTAAGTCCTTACATTTAGGTATAGATTTGGAAACAGGATCTTGAAGGAGTTTCAAAATAGAGCAGATGGATCTACATTTATAACTGCTTCAGACGTTTTCTATCACCTGAGCTCACTGACAAGCACAAAGCAAAGTCACCAAAACAACCCCCCCAGAGCTCTCTAAACAGTGAATGAGGAAGAAGAGGATAGCAAGTTCTCAAATCACAGCCTTCTCTACCATCTTTCCATGGTTATAGCCACTTCCTCTTAGTGAGTTAAGAAAACACATCCTCTCCTTTCCCATTTCTGTCAGAAATGTATTTTCCAAGAAGTTGTCATGCTGCCCTGTAACATGCTTCTCATCTGCTCAGCAGCATCTTAAAGCTGCTTAACAACTAATTCTTCACTAGATCAAGCCAATTAATGACTCCTGCACTGGATTACACATTAACAATAGACTTGTTAATGTACAAACTTTACCACCTACAGATTTGGATAAATACAAGATTCCTTGTATGCTGACCAAGAAAAAAAAACAAACCTTAATGTTTCACTGGGTCCCCATGCTACAAGCAGAGGTCATTCCAAAAAAATACAGTATTAGAAAGGAAAATATCATAACTTAGGGAACTGGCAGTAGGACAGTTCTCTCTAGTTCAAACACAAGGAATTCCTAGTGACCAGCTATGACTATCACAGGATGCCTATTTCACAGACAGGATAAAATTAATTTGGCTTACAACATTTAGATGAATCATTTTCACAGGAAGGAAGAGCCAAAGGCACGACAGATGCCGATGTGTTCTGTCAGTTCCCACCCCAGCCTCGCCATGTCTGTGCTGTGGCCTAACAGCAAGCAGTAAACACAGAATCTTTCCCTGCATGTTTACCTGTCTGGAAAACTAACACAGTTCACGTCATTCCTGAATAATCCCACAATTTTAAAGCCTTAAGATCCTTCAGTGAGTCACACAGCAGCTGAAAGTTTCTCCAAGGAAGTATTTGTGTCTTAGCTGCACACACCAAGGTGACATCAGCAGCTGTTAGATAACACTGCCTGGGCTGTGAGAGACAAGGAGCTTTCAATGACAGGAGAACTCTCACTCACTCTCCATGAGGGACGCTGAGAGAGGCTTCAGACAGACTTTACCAACGTGCAAAAATAAGGCAGTTTCACAGTATGACAGTGTCATGAAAATACAGACCGGCTACTCACCTTCTGGCTGTAGATTGCGCTGTATTTGGCCAGGTATTTGTCCTGGCAGCCGGCCCAGCCTAGGAGGATCACCACAGGCTGGCCCTCGGCAGGCCCTCTCTCTGTAGTGCCTTCTGAAACAGATCACAAGTGTTACAGCAACAGCCCTCCAGCCTGCGCGAGTCACAGCTTACAGCGGCTTGGCTGCTCAGAAAAGCTTAAAGGCAATGGTGAAGCAAGCGTGAGTTTGACTTCTCGGCCAGTTGCGAGTGTTGCCTCAGGCCGGTTTGCTGCGAACAGCACAGCTTCAGCCCCTGCAGCTCCCACCGCCCTCCAGTGACGCAAAGCCAGCACCGAACTGATCCCCACGGGGGGCGAGACCGCTCTTCTTCCCGCCTCCCGGCGGGACAGCGGCAGCTGCTGCCATTCCAGGGGGAAAAGGGAAGCGTCCTGCCCCGTCCTCCGGGGACTGCCAGACACCTGCTACAGCACCAATGCCCCACGGCTCCTCCTCCATAGCCCAGCCCGCTCCCCCTTCTCGGCCCGCAGAGGCGCCCCAGTCCCTGCTGTCACTGGTGTCCCCGGTCCCGCTCGCCTCCGCACCGCGGGCCTGTCCCGGCTCCGGCTCCGGCTCCACCACGGCCGCCTCCAGCCCGCGCGTGCCCATGGCCGCGCTCCG